TGCTAGGATTACAGGCCTGAGCCACCGCGCCCGGCCACCACCCTATCTTTCAACACCAGACTTCTCCCTTATTTAGTTGTAGAATACCTCAATATAAGTACTCACTAAAAACTTGTTGAATGACTGGATCTCACTGATTTAGTATCATTATGCAAAGCATTCAGAAGTTTATTTTTTTAGACAACAAAATAACTGTATCTTCAATATTTTGGATAGAAAAATTTTTTAAATATCATAATCTTTATCTTCATAAACAGTTTGCTAAACATAAATCTCTTCTTGATGATTGGGAGGTCATGTTTATGAATATAAGTTATTATTAATGCCTTTAGAGATCTAATAACTTCAAATACTATCTCTGTAATAATAAATCTCAAAAGAATACTAGTACCTTATGTGAAACATTAGGAATTTATTTGCAATTGCCTATAAAACGTTTATCTAAAACCATAGTTAGGGATCTAAAACCACAGTCGCTTCACACTCAATATGTCTCAAATTTAAGTCATCCTAAATACCTCACAAATATCTTGCCACAGCTAGTGAAGCCACTATCACAAAGTAGAAGCCTTAGAATCACCTCTTTTTTTTCTGAAAGGAAAATCTATAGCATTAAATATACACATTAGACAATGTTTAAAAGTGTCAAATCAGTAATCTAAGCTCCTACCTCATCAACCTAGGAAAACAACGAAAAAGAAAAAGAAAGAAAAGCCCAAAGCAGGCAGAAGGAAGGAAATAATAAAGATAAAGGCAGAAATCAATGAAAATGAAAATAAGAAAACAAAAGAGAAACCAAGAGCTCAATGAAACAAAGAGCTGATTCTTTGAAAATACCAAGAAAAATAAAAAACCTAGAAGAAAACTTCCTCAACTTGATAAAGAGCATCTACACAAAACCTGTAACTAACATATGCTTAATGGTAAAAGACTGAATGCTTTCCCTCTAAAAATGGAAACAAGGTAAGAACATCCAATCTCATAACTCTTATTCAACATAGTGCTAGAAGGTCTAGTCAGTGCAATAAAATAAGAAAAATAAATAAAAGCCATACGAATTAGAAAGGAAGAAATAAAATTGTTCCCATTTACAATGAGATGATTATCTACATGGAAAATTCCAAGAACTCTACCAAAAAAACTTCTACAACTAATATATGAGTTCAGTGAGGTTGCA